AATATATAGAAAATTCTAAAGGAAAATAACTCTTGTATAAAATAAAAAAATATTATCTTGATTGCTAAGAAGAAAATGTACAATAATGTAAGTCATTACAGAAATAAAGACATTATTCATTGAGTTTAAAATTGATAAGTATGTATGTTGTCCTGAGGGGTAACCACTAAAAGCACAGGAAAAGCATGCATAATTTCAAAATTCAGAGAGTAAAAATGAATGAGAAAAATAATCAATCCCCAAAATGAGAGAAAGACAGAAAACTGAGAGAAGTAAAAGTTTAAAATAATATGGTAGATTTCAAAACAAATACAGTAGCATTTATATTAAGTGTGACTGGATTAACTTTGCTAGTCAAAATACAATGTTGTCAGACTGCATTTTAAGATATCCAAGCATATATTTTTATTTAAAAAATACAACTAAACATTATGGAAAACAGTGTGGAGATTTCTTAAAAAGCTGGAAATAGAACTGCCATATGACCCAGCAATCCCACTTCTGGGCATACACACTGAGGAAACCAGATCTGAAAGAGACACGTGCACCCCAATGTTCATCGCAGCACTGTTTATAATAGCCAGGACATGGAAGCAACCTAGATGCCCATCAGCAGACGAATGGATGAGGAAGCTGTGGTACATATACACCATGGAATATTACTCAGCCATTAAAAAGAATTCATTTGAATCAGTTCTAATGAGATGGATGAAACTGGAGCCCATTATACAGAGCGAAGTAAGCCAGAAAGATAAAGACCATTACAGTATACTAACACATATATATGGAATATAGAAAGATGGTAATGATAACCCTATATGCAAAACAGAAAAAGAGACTCAGATGTATAGAACAGACTTGTGGACTCTGGGAGAAGGCGAGGGTGGGATGTTTCAAGAGAATAGCATCGAAACATGTATATTATCTAGGGTGAAACAGATCACCAGCCCAGGTTGGATGCATGAGACAAGTGCTCGGGCCTGGTGCACTGGGAAGACCCAGAGGGATCGGGTGGAGAGGGAGGTGGGAGGGGGGACCGGGATGGGGAATACATGTAAATCCATGGCTAATTCATTTCAATGTATGACAAAAACCACTGCAATGATGTAAAGTAATTAGCCTCCAACTAATAAAAATAAATGGAAAAAAAAACAATTAAAAAAAATAAATTAAAAAAAATACAACTAAAACACAAGGACACAAAAGGGTTGAAAGCAAAAGGCTGGAAAAAGAAATTGTGAAAATAATAACCATGAGAAAGTCATTTTCCTCTAGTAATATCAAACAAGGCAGACTTTACGAGGGAAAAAGCATTCTTATGAAAAGGCCAGAAGTCACTTCAAAATGACAAAATACTGAAATCGCCAAGAAGTCACAAACTTGTCAATCTGATTGTACCTAAGAACAAAGCCTCCAATTATATAAAGCAAAATTTGACAGAACTACAAGAAAAAACCAAAACAACAACAATCTCAGTGACAGAATTAAATGGTAAAATCTCTTGAACACATAGGTTTGAATTGTACAGGTCCTACTTTATGAGAATTTTTTTCAATAAATATGTACTATTATACTATTATACACAACCCATGGCTGGCTGAATCCACAATGCGGATGTGGAAAGCCAACTGTAAAGTTACACAGAGATTTTTCATCTGTGTAGAAGGCCAGCACCCTGACTCCTATGTTGTTCAAGGGTCAAAAGTTCTTGATTTAAAGAAAACAAGCCAAACAAAAATAGAAAAGTCAGTAAGGATACAGAGTACCTGAGTAAGACTACACAAACACCTGTTGCACATATATCAACACTGCCTCAACAACTGAGGAGAGCACATTCTTTTTAAAAGTAATGGAATATTTACACAATAAACATTTCCTGGTGAAAAAGCAAGTTTCAACAAATGTCAATCATATAGAATATTTTTTATTAACACAGAACAAAATAATCGAGGAATAAATAACAAAAGATAACTAGAAAAGCTTCATATAGTTTGTAGTTTCAGAATCATTGAAATGACTTGTAAGTCAAAGAAGAAATCATATTGGAAATTTAAAAAGTTATTTTTTACTGAAAGATAATGACAATACTATCATAAAAACTTTAGGATGAAACCAAAGCAAAATTTAGAGAGAAACTGATAGCCTTAAATGCATAGATTAAGAAAGGAATAAATATTGAGCTAAACACATATCTCAAGAAGTCAGTTAGGAAAAGAAAACACATACACACATTAAAAAAAACAGTAGAAGAAAGATATATAGGGTTAATGAAATAAAATTAATTAATGAGAAATCTCTGCTGACAATAACCAATAAAAAATGCACAGATAAGCAATATAAAGTGTCAACAGGGGCACTTCAGCTACAAATACACTGATTGGTTAAAAAGATGAGCATGAGTGCTTAGTTGCTCAGTCGTGTCTGACTCCTTGCAACTCCATGGACTGTAGCCCACCAGACTCCTCTGTCCATGGGATTCTCCAGGCACAAATACTGGAGTGAGTAGCCATTAGCCTTATCCAAAAAGATGAGAGAAATTTTAATTTTCAGAAATTTTAAATAAAATGGAAAAATTCCTAGCAAAAGCAACTTTAGACAAAAATGACTCAAGAAGAAATAGAAAACCCCGATGTTCTATAACAGGGGTGACAGTTAAAATACTTAAAACTTTTTTTGACACATGCACTTACCATTAGAACAGATATTAGCCCAACCAGAACTGATACCAGCTCTGAAAACCAGCACGTTGTTAGTACTATTGCTTAAAGACTGCCTCTAACTATGGAGAGAATTATATCACTAATCTTATATTGTCTCACAACAAAAACATAAATGTTTTACTTTGATAAACTCTTAGCAAATAATCTGAGAAAAAGGGTTACTCCAAACTTACAACCCTGGACTGTGTGGATCACAACAAACTATGGAAAATTCTTAAAGAAATGGGAATACCAGACCACCTTACCTGCCTCCTGAGAAATCTGTATGCAGGTCAAGAAACAACAATTAGAGTCAGACATGGAACAACAGACTGGTTCCAAATTGGGAAAGGAATACGTCAAGGCTGTGTATTGTCACCCTGCTTATTTAACTTATATCCAGAGTACATCATGAGAAATGCCTGGCTGGATAAAGCACAAGCTGGAATCAAGATTGCTGGGAGAAATATCTATAACTTCAGATATGGAGACGACACCACCCTTATGGCAGAAAGCAAAGAAGAACTAAAGAGCCTCTTGATGAAAGTGGAAGAGGAGAGTGAAAAAGTTGGTTTAAAACTCAACATTCAAAAAACTAAAATCATGGCATCTGGCCCCATTACTTCACAGCAAATAGACGGGGAAACAATGGAAACAGTGAGAGATTTTATTTTGGGGGCCTCCAAAATCAGATGGTGACTGCAGCCATGAAATTAAAAGATGCTTGCTCCTTGGAAGAAAAGCTATGACCCACATAGACAGCATATTAAAAAGCAGAGACATTACTTTACCAACAAAGGTCCATCTAGTGAAAATTATGGTTTTTCCAGTAGTCATGTATGGATGTAAGAGTTTGGCTATAAAGAAAGCTGAGTGCCAAAGAATTGACACTTTCGAACTATGGTGTTGGAGAAGATTCTTGAGAGTGCCTTGGACTGCAATGAGATCCAACCAGTCCATCCTAAAGGAAGTCAGTCCTGAATATTCATTGGAAGGGCTGATGCTGAAGCTGAAACTCCAAAATTTTGGCCACCTGAAGCGAAGAACTCACTCATTGGAAAAGACTCTGATTCTGGGAAAGATTGAAGGCAGGAGGAGACGGTGACAACAGAGGATTAGATGATTTGATGGCATCACCAGCTTGATGGACATGAGTTTGAGCAAGCTCTGGGAGTTGGTGATGGACAGGGAAGCCTGGCATGTTGCAGTCCATGGGATAGCAAAGAGTCAGACACAGCTGAACAACTGAACTGAACCAAGCTCAGTGGTAAAGAATTCGCCTACCATGCAGGACATGCAAGAGTCTCTGGTTCAATCCCTGGGTCAGGAAGATCCCCTGGAGAAGGAAATGGCAACCCACTCCATATTCTTGCCTGGAGAATCCCCATAAATAGAGAAGTCTGGCGGGCTACAGTCCATGGGATGGCAAGAGTCAGACACAACGTAACAACTACATCACCACCAGAAACTTACACAAACTTCACCATTGAACAGAAAACCATGATTTTATTTATCAGTGAATTTTATGAGCCTAACAAAAGCCTCATACAGAAAATATCTGACAAAGATAGCACAAAAAGGAAAAATTATAGCCCAATATTACTCTTGAGTGAAAGTTACTCAGTTGTGTCCAACTCTTTGCGACCCCATGGACTATACAGTCCATGGAATTCTCCATGCCAGAATACTGGAGTGGGTAGCCTTTCCCTTCTCCAAGGGATCTTCCCAACCCAGGAATTGAACCTAGGTCTCCCACATTGCAGGCAGATTCTTTACCAGCTGAACAAGGGAAGCCCCATTTCTCTTGAAAACAGTGGCAAAAATTCATTAGGAAACATTGGCCAACTGAATCCAATAAAATTAATATATCATGGTCAATTTCAGGAGCACATGGTTGATTTAACATATAAAATCAACTACCATATTAAAAGAGATAAGTCATAAAGTCATCTTAATATATGCAGTAAAATATTCATGATAAAACTTTCTATCAAAGTGGAAGTAGGAAAAAAATCTCCTTAATGTGATAAAGGATAACTATATGAAAACATTTAATGTCACATATCATGGTGGTACACTGAAAAGTTTCTCTTTAAGTTCAGGAAAAAGGAAAATGATCAACAGGAATCAGACATTCTCAAGATTTCTTAGTACTTGCGCAGTTATTTTACTAGACAATATAGATTCTACATTGCTGGACATTTCTGCTTATATGATTAGAGGATATTCTCTACTCTTACAATGACTCTGTTAAACTTTACATCCAAATTTAAGACTTAGCTTTGTAATTATATTACATACCATAGGTTCTGTTTCCTTTGGAGGTTTTACCAAGGGAGGAAGGTACCACTGAAAGCAAAGTTCTTTGTTTAAAGCTTGTGTTGCCACAACTGATGGTATCACATCTCTATACAATGTGCTGGTAATGGTCTTTAATGATAAATCAGAGTGTAGAGAAGCATCAGTTACTCCTGTCTGGGGAACAAATAGAAACATTCATTTTATTGCTGGCAATGAATGTATTCAATATTTAAGACATTCATTCAATTTTCATTCAATAGTGACTATACTGGAAAACTCTGGGAATCATCTCAGCTTGCCTTATGGATGTAGGTCTTAAAACCTCCCAATTACCACAGAGAAGATTCTTCTGTGGAAAAAAAAATATACTCCAAAACCCAGCGGACTCAACAAATATCTTCCACTTTGGTGAATATCCAAGAGTAACGATCTAGAGGGGAAATATCAGTGCTATCACTTCAGTCTCAAGATCATCATAGGGTCTAAGAACATCCACTTTTCCTCTGGCTTATTCATTGGTGCATATATACTAAGAGTTTGGTTACAATTTATTATCTACTTTACAACAGCATTATTTTTTTTGCAGTACCTTATGAAAAATAAGACACAGTTTTTGCTCTAAGAGGTCAAAATTCATTACTTTCATTCCCTCTTTAAATGAATGTGGCTGGTTTGTAAGTTTGGTCTTGGTTAATCTGGGCTCAGCTCATTTGATAGAACTTGATCGCTGAATCAGGAGTTTTCAAGAAGCACAAATGTGTAGACTGCAATTGGTGATTTCATAAAATATTTACTTAGTTCTTTAAGGTAGATAAAAACAGTAAAGCGTGATTGCTGTCAACAAAAGTAGAGTCTAGCCAGAAAGATAATAATAATGATAATAATATCTCACTTCTAAAAAGGGCCTTCTTCAGTGGAGTGTAAACTATTTTCAAAATTAAATTCTCATTATTCCCAAGATTACAGTGTGGTAACTGGAAAGCAGTTCTTCTACTAAATCTTGACCTTCAAAGGCATCTCAAGGTTTGGTGACCACAGGGAACATGTCTGTGACTGTAAAGAAAGGCCTGGTGTTTCCGTAAGACTCTCTACCTTCCATTTCTGAGCCTATTCAAGATACAACTGAAGACTGTCAATGCAAAGTCTTCAAAATAAAATAAAAAGAGAAATAAATACATTGACCTTTCTGGTTGTCTACTGATAAAAGAAAAAAATATGTCTTGACTGAAAGGTAATACTAAAGGTGAAAACTATTCTAAAATGTCTAGAGACTATCATAAAAGGATATGATAAACCAGAATCCTCATTTATTAGCACTAGGATACTAAAAGTATGACCAACATGCACAATAAATAAAATTATTAACTCTATGTCAGGCAGTTTACCAAAAAATCAGATAAATAATTGATTTAGGGGAAAAAATGTTCATTTTTTCCTATCTGAGTGCCTTTCAGAGCTTCTGACAACTATTTTAGCAAAGAATTCATATTTAATAACTAGCTAAATGGAGAAAAATAAAAAGTAAATACCTTCTATGTCAACATATATATAGTGTTTATTCACACAATAGCCTAATAATAATGAACTGCAATAGAAATCAATATTAATATAAGCATTTAATTTTCTTTTCTCTTTTAAAAAACACAATATCTAACTCCTAATGGGATTAATTACATCAGCTAGTCAATGAGCTATACACTGGGTACTTTTGATACGTTTGATTTATTCTTTGAAAGGAATGAAACAACAGACCTACCAGAAGCACTCTTGTTCGTCATGTACTATAAACATCAAATCACTCTGCACTAATCAAATGTTTGACCTTACGCAGTCTGTCACGGGCACGCAGACTAAACATGAATAACTCGGCATTGTGCACCATTTTAATCATGTCCTTTCTGGAATTTTTAATGTGATTTGTTTGGCGTCTTTGTTTTTCCATCATAAAGCTTCAATAGACTTGATGACAGGCAGACTCACAAAGCTGATGAGCATGACATGTATATATGATGGTTCTGGAAATGCATCTACTTCTTTGTGGGGGAAAAACGGGTTTAAGTACAAAATTATGGGAAGGGCTTGATTGAAATGGCCTCCTGAGTGATTAAAGGCTCAGAAATGTTATTATAAAAGTCAGCCAAGCTTGGAGTTTACTTTTTAAAAAATCCAAAAGGTTTTATGCTCATTAGCTGTCTACCCCAGTGAAACGAACACATGATTAGGTGGCTTGCACCTGTCAGGCAAGCGACAGTGATCTCCAGGGCTGATTATTTTGGGAGAGTGTTCCACTAATTATATCAAAATAAAGAGCAAACACGGTGAAACAACTCTTTGATATCATTACTGCATTAGAAATACTGTATGTATTTACACTGTGTTCAAGGTTGTACATTTGGAGCACCATCCTTAGGACTGGGGTAATGATAGGCTGCCCTTAATAATGAAATGCTCAGCAAAGCTCCTTTCAGAACAGTATTTAAGAAATCACATACATTAGTTTCCAAAATCTTATAAAATATTCACAAGAATACATTCATTGAAACTATAGTTCTCAACCCTCTCAATCTCCCTCTTCTATTCTGAAAAACCCGAGGTATCTGGGGCACGTGGATGGAATCCTCAGGGCAGTCTCAGGTCCGAGGAGGGGTGACTCGGACAGCTGTGTTAGATGGAAATGATCTGATCCTACTCTATTGGTTTCTGCCAGGTGGAGAGCCAGACATTAACAATGCATCCCAGGCCTTTTCACCTTCTCTCTGCTCCTCTCTCTAGAGAGAGTTACTTCATCAGTGAATTTGAGAAAAAGAATTTTGGAAATGCATAATTCTACTCTTCTTCCGAGCATACTGTTTTCAGGGAGTGAACATCCTCTGCTCCTTCATGCAACAGATTTTAAAGGGGTTTCTGTCCCCTCAGGTTTTAAAGAGACCTGTAATGACTCCCCCCTCCACCAAAACCCATCAGCATGGACTGGTAGAACTGAACTGTCAACTTTGCTAATCACTACTAGGGAGACCATTTACCAGTAAATATAAACCATATTCTACAATATCAACGGCATGACTCATAAAGTAAGGTATTTTTTAATCTCAGTATGTCTTACTCTTTTATTTCTCAAATGACTTAGAATCTGGGACAGGAAACAGGGGCACTGAGTTTGGGGCATTCCAATACTTCCAGTTTCTAAGAAGTAATCTGAAAAATCCTCCCGTGTGGATTGCAATTCACTGCCCTGGGGGCAATAACCCCAGCTGAGACTCACTTAACTGAATCCATAAATATTCCTTAGTGGGTCTTTCCACTGCTTTTTAAAAACACCCTCCTCTCTTGTTCCAAAGAATGATCTTTTTAAAATTTTATTCATATTTACCCCAAACACAAGGTTGAACGTGAAAGTGAAAGCGGCTCAATTGAGTCTGACTCTTTGTGACTCCATGGACTATACAGTCCATGGAATTCTCCAGGCCAGAATACTGGAGTGGGTAGCCTTTCCCTCTTCCAGGGGATCTTCCCAACCCAGGGATTGAACCCAGGTCTCCTGCACTGCAGGCAGATTCTTTACCAGCTGAGCCACAAGAGAAATCCAAGAATATTGGAATGGGTAGCCTATCCCTTTCTCCAGGGAATCTTCCCTACCCAGGAATTTAACCGGGGTCTCCTGCATTGCAAGCGGATTCTTTACCAACTGAGCTATCAGGGAAGCCCTAAACATAAGGTTAGTATACTCCAGTAGGATAAGATGAGCAAAGGCTCCCATTGGGAACAAGCCACATTTTCAGGTCACTTCTCTGGGACAGTTGACAACAGAAACATGAATGTGTCTGGTATGGGTATAATTGTAAAAATTAAAGGGCTATATGGTGAAATCCAAAGTCAAGATAACTCAAAATAAATCAGTGGGTTTTTTTCCCCCCAGTTTTGAAAAAATTCTATTCAAATCACTTGATTTATTCATTTCACAAATACATATTGAAAATTTACACTATGTTCTCTTGGGTTCTCTACTATAATTTCAAAGCATAACATACAAGCCTTGTCCACAAACATCCTCACTCTCCTGCCCCCACTGTATCTGCTAATGGTGTTACCATGCTCTAGGGATCACAGACAGAGGTTCCAATTGATGGGATAAAACTTTTCTCATTCCCTCTTCTCTTGCCATCGCCATAAAGTCCCTAAGGTGTTTTGTTTTCAATTTTACTTAAGCAACATCTTTTATATCCATCTCTTCATTCTCATTCCTCATGACCATAAGCTTGGCTGTTTCATCATCTCTTTCTCGGATAACTTCCTTTCACTTACACTTTGCCAATCAGCCTTACATGCTGCTGACAGCAGAACTAACGTTTTGGTTTTCATACTCTTTCTGCTATTAACCTTGCCATGTTTTTCTTAAAGAGCATCTGTGAGGTGCCGCCATTTTCTTTCATGCTAACTCTGCCAATCTTTCTCTACCACCACACCAGAGACTATGCCTTATCCACTGCTTTCTCCACCACCTAAGAGTGTCTGTCATATTGTTAGTAGCCAACATATGTTTGTTGAACATACCAAATTTGAAACAAATCTCCATTTTCACTGAAACTCTTTATACTTTTTCAGTATCTTCCAATCCACCCATTTTGGTTGTTTATTTAAAAATTACTATTACTCAAGACCCTAGTAGCTTGCTCAAGACCCTCTTTTACGTCTCTTCAATAGATAACTTAAAAGAGGTTTCCATATTACATATTTTGGGGAAGTCCATCCAACTGAATAACACTTCCCCTCCCCCCACAAAATCTTCAAACTTTTAACTTATTTAAAAACTTGCCGTTTATCCTTAGCATTCTCATGATTGCTAAAAATAAAAATGAATGCTTTTTATTACACATGTAAAACAAAGGTACAGAAGTTGCGTATAGATTGAGAGATTCTCAGTCTAGTGTCCTTATAGGGTATTATATTGAAATTTGTATAACTTCTTGGCAAAATAACTCTCAGAGAAGTTGTGATGTGTAGGAATACAGAAAAGTCTGGGACATTTTGAAGGCTTATAAGAACAGCAAAACAGAACCTATGAAAACAGAGAACCAGCATGTCTATTTGGCTTTTCTCTGTGGTAAAAGTTTCCTCAGGTAAAACCTCTGAGGAAACTAAAAACCTTTGTGTCAGTATGGAGGTTAATGTGCTTCTTTCAGAAATAAAAGGATGATTAAGTCTTCCAAAAAACATATAATTATATAATGTTTTAAACATTACCTTGCTTGCTGAATCATATAAGACATTTTCTAGAATAGGTGGATTTTCCATGACTTGAAATAGTTCTTTTGGAAATTCATCAATACAAGAAGAAGAATATAGCTGTAAGAATCTTTTAAGGAAAAAATGCATTTCTTTTTGGCGCAAAATCAATCCAGAGTTAAAAAGAGAAGTGAGAAGAGTGTCATCTGGCAAAGACATCCCAGATCCTGGCTTCAGAGATGCTTAAAGGAAAAACAAAAACTACTATAGGATCATGTTAGATAACAGAATGGTCTCTATATTGCTGTCCTTTGCCTGCTAATCTCATTCCTGCACGTTCCCACCTCACCCAGTGGCTGCCCATAACCTTCCTCCATTTTTCAAGCTTATACTCTAACAGAATTGCTTCTGGTCACAGGAAGGAAAGAACACCTCAGAACCCTGGGATCCTACTTCTGGCTTCAAGCTTAACAAAGCAAAACATTCAATCTTGCTGTCTTATCTGGGGATCCCCATCCCCAGCCAAAAAAAATCTTAAAGCAAAAATTCAGGTTCAGGTAATTTATCTGAAAACTGATCTCAAGTGAGAGAATGGGAAACGTGTGACAGAAAAGAAGAGTCAACGACTGAGTTAGGAAAGGGCTCCAGCCATGGACGAGGAGAGCTCAGTTCTGCTGAGGACCTCCTAAGGAAAAACACGGGAAACTGTTCCACCAGGGGGCTGGCCTGCTGGAATATCTACCGACCGCTCCCTCCCTCAGCAGTTGCAGGTTACTCCTGAATGGGTGCGGTCCCTGGTGCTTCCAGGCCATCCTGCCTATATGCTGGGCCTCGGTCACTTCTAAGAAAGCCCAGAGCAGAAAGAAGCAAAATGTGCACGATTGACATGGGAGATACCAGCAGGTGAATCCAGGGGGAGCTGAATTGATAACAGGAGGGCATCACCGGGGCCCACTGTGCTGGATTATATCCACTTCCCTCGCTACCGAACTGGCCCTATCACGATGCAGCTTTTACCCACCACCTTTCCCAGTGCTCGCCTCTCCCGTCACTAACTCTGATAACCAGGCTGAGCTGCTCGGGGGCTTGGCCTCTTTGCCCTGCTGATTTCCCCATCACTGGGTGCTTCCTTAGTCAAGCTGTCTTTGTTGTTTGCCCTCATAAGCAACACTGGCTCACTAATTTCATGGGCACAGATAAACACATCGTCACAAAACCACAAGAGAAGAGACTGTGACACAGATTATAACAGTTTTTTGGGCTATTCTTTAGAGAGCACCAATGATTTTAAAATAAAAACAACAACAAACAAAACTCAAAACTTCATAGAGTTAAATATCCTGTCTTTCTCTTTAAATACTAGATATTCTCTCCTTAATGCCAAAGATTTCACCTTGTTCATTTTATAAGCTGTTACATTAGGGTCATTCTGATTCTTAACTGTTTTGAGACACACGGTACTTCAGTAATCTTGGCAAAAGTCTCTGGATGCCCTCTTCTAAGGATGTCTTAAAATACATTGAAATACTGTTCTTTTCAAAGGTCCCTGTATATCAGACGAAGAACCCCTGAAATTTCCATCTTCTGATGAGAGTTCACTTAGAAAGATGTCAAACATAGTTTATAGTTCTAAGTAAGAAACATGACTTAATAACTGGAAAGGAATATGTTCTTTCAGAGGCCTACCTAGCAATTTGCTCATATTATTAATTCTTTGTAGGTGAATATAGTAGCGTAGCAGAAGAATCCATGTAATATCCACTTTAATTGGGTTTTTTTTCTGAGAATCTACATCCTCATACACCTCTTCACTAAGGTAAGAAAATGTACAGCCACTCTGGAAGACAACTTGGTAGTTATCTGAAAGCAAAAAAAAACAAAAAAATTAGAATACAAATAATATGTTTTCTTCGAAAAATAACCATATGTGAAAAAAGAAAAGCACAATTTATAAAGGAAATATTAACACTTAGGATTGCATTCAATTAAAAAAAGTTTGTATCACAAAAGACACCAATCATAAATAACAAACCATGGACTGAGAAAACATGTTTAAAACACCAGATAATAAATTATCTTCTCTCTACTATGTAATCAATAAGAAAAAGTCAGATAGTCCAACAGAAACATGGGCAAAGAATTTCAACAGGCAACTTATAGAAAAGGAAAAACAAATGGCCAAAATTTTTAGCATCATTAAAAATCAGATAAATTAAGATGAAATACCATTTCACATTCCTCAGCAATTAACAGAAACTAAAATCTGAAAGCAATAAATGTGAAGATACCATAATTCTCATATACTATTTGTGACAGCAAATTCCTGGGCAGAGGCTAATAAAATTTTAAATGCAGATAGTCAGATATATGTACCAGGAGTCCTGCACAATATACTCATGGCAGCATTGTTTGTGTTACAAAAAAAAAAAAGGAAACTTGAACAATAGAAGCATTAATTTGATGGCACTAATGAGAATTAATTCAGAGAAGGCAAAGGCATCCCACTCCAGTACTCTTGCCTGGAAAATCCCATGGACGGAGGAGCCTGGTAGGCTGGAGTCCATGGGGTTGCAAAGAGTTGGACACGACTGAGCGACTTCAGTTTCACTTTTCACTTTCATGCATTGGAGAAGGAAATGGCAACCCACTCCAGTGTTCTTGCCTGGAGAATCCCAGGGACGGGCAAGTCTGGTGGGCTGCCATCTATGGGGTTGCACAGAGTCGGACACGACTGAAGCTACTTGGCGGCAGCAACAATGAGAATTAATTAGATTTATAAGGAGAAACTCTAGTCCATGGGCCAAATTAGGTCAATGCATGTTTATGTATGACCCATAAGCTAAGAATGGTTTTTATATTTTTAAGTGTTTGAAAAAATTAAAATAATATTTTGTGATATGTGAAAGTTATATGAAAATCAAATGTCAGTGTCCTTAAGAATGGAATACAGCCATGCTCATTTATATTTTGTCTATGGTTTCTTCACATTAACACAGCAAAGCTGAATACTTGCAACAGAGAGCACAAAACATAAAACATTACTATCTGGCCCTTTACAGAAGACATGTGCTGACCTAGATTTTGCTCATGAAGGATAAAGTGAGGAAAAATATCTAAAGATGATTAAGTAATACAGAGCTATCAATAGCCTCCATACACAAAAACAACAACCAATAGAAAGCTAATGAAAAAATTTTGCAATACTACTAATAAGATAAAATACCTTATCTGAGATATAAGTTTAACAAGAAGCATATAAGATCTACTTAAAGAAAATGTTAAAACACTCCTAAGAGACTGATTTAAAAAAAAAAAAAAAAGGCATGAAAATGAACTAAAAGTATATGACATAACAATATTCTTGGTTAAGATGACTCAAAAGAATAAAAACATGTTATCTCTAAGATAAAATATAAAGGTAATGCAACTTCAATAAAATTATGAGAGAACTTTCTCAAATAGACAAGTTGTTTCCAAAGTAGAAAAAATAGCCATAAAATAAATACAGTTTTTACAAGAAAGAGTAATAAATGAGGATTTACTCTAATAGATATGAAATATATTATAAGGCTATAATAATTAAAATAGTTTGGTATTGAATCCTGAATAGACAGATCAGTAGAAATGAGTAAGAAGTACAGAAACAGGATAGCCATTTGGAAAAACTAAAATTGTATCCTTTTGTTATTTTTTACATATTTCAAATAGACTTCCACAAACTAGTAAAGGGGTCCATGCCTTTTCCTTAAATACTTGTAGAAGCTCTATGGGGCTTCCCAAGTGGCTCAGTGGTAAAGAATCCACCTGCAATGTAGGAGACAGGAGTTTGATCCTGGGCTCAGGAAGAGCTCCTGGAGGAGGAAATGGCAACCCACCCCAATATTCTTGCCTGGAGAATTCTATGGAGGGAGCTTGGTGGCTATAGTCCACAGGATCACAAAGAGTCAGACACGACTGAATGACTAAACACCCCCCCACACACAGAAGCTCTTTATTATATAAATAAACCCTTTAACTGTGATATTTGCAAATATATCTTTTCAATTATCAGGTGTTATTTAACCCTCTTTATGGTAATTGTTGCCATGAAGAAATTTTCATTTCTAAGTAGTATAAATTATTAACCCTTTCTTTGATAACTTTTGGATTTATGTCATAGTTAGGTCTTGACCATAATCTGAGACTATAAGTAAGTAAAAAGACATTCTCCCTTAACGCCTCCAGAGGAAAGTAGCCTGCTGACACCTTAATTTTAGCCCAATAAGGCCTATGTTGGGCTTCAGAACATCAGAAATGTAAGATAACACATTGTGTTGCTTTAAGCCACTGAATTTGTGGCTATTTGTTATAGCAGGCATAGTGCACTGGTATGGTACTAGTGGTTCCCTGGTAGATCAGTTGGTAAAGTTGCAATGCAGGAGACCCCATGGTTCGATTCCTGGAGTGGGAATATCCCCTACAGGAAGGCCTGACAATCCACTCCAGTCTTCTTGCCTGGAGAATCCCAGGGACAGAGGAGCCTGGTGGGCTACAGTCCATAGAGTTGCCAAGAGTTGGACACAACTGAAGCAGCCTAGCACACACACGTGCATTCTGACAACGCTGTTTCCCTCCGGGGAAGAGCACCGAGTCACTTGCAGAGAAGATGGAAGGGAGACAGTCTCTCCATACCTGTCGATGAATTTTGAATCGTGATCTCAAGAATAAATTACCTGTGCAAAAAACTGAGCTAAATTAAAAGCAAAAAAGAACCTCTATGTTTATGTGGCCAATGTTATGTAGTCTTTAATGTCACAGAGAAAAAATAAGACCAGTTTAGTTTTTGTTCTTTTGTAGAAAGTCTGCTTTTTCTGTTTACAATTATTTTCTTTGTCTTTAGAATCCAAAAAATGAGGCCAAAATTTGTCCATGTATTATCTGTGCTATCTGTAAGTTTATCTTTAGAAGAATATTTTGGAGGGAGAGTCCCTTATAGCCTGCATTTAGAAGCACCCCTCTGCAACGGTTTCCACCACCTCCAGCCAGGACTGCCTGGTTACACTGATTTGGGGCCTCTGCGTCACTGAGGATAATTCTCGTCGTACCCTCGTTGCCTGAATTGGTGCAGCACGTGAGCACACACATGCATGCAAGTACATGATCAGTGCTGCTGGCATGAATAACTTACCTCCATTCTCACCTGTAGGTGGTATAATTATTTGGGATTTGAAGATATAATGTGTCCTTCTAGCTCCCCACCAGTATGGGAAATTGTGTCTCAGAGGAATAGAAAGTAGGATAGTAGTAGAGGAATGACATCCCAGTTTTTAGTTGGCATTGACTCATATCTCTGAGCCAGGGACAAGGCAGAACAGGAAAGACAAATTGCATTTTTTCCAGGATGGAAGGTTTTCTCCATCTCAAGAGGCAAAGCATGTATTAATACTAAGGATCAGTTGATTCTTGGTTCTGCTCCATAGATCTCTCTTTATGTTCTGACAGTAGGTTCATCAACATTCATTTTTGGCATGACACATATTTATATTTTTCTGTATATCAAGTGTATTTAGTTGTGAGAGCCTGCATCCAGAACTACTGACCCTGAATGTCACTTTTAATTCAAAACATATTACAGAATTTAATAATTTTTAATCCTAGCAGAATTTTCTATTAAGGCCGCAAGAAAATCAAGACAAAAAGATGGAATGTATTTGAATATAACAGGGCCCCAAGTAGATATTGGGTAAGTGTTTTTGGCATTCAATCTAAATATGGTCCCATGTTGGCAGTGGGCATCATTTCAGGGTCTGTATTCCTACAAGACAACGTAAAAGGAACCTCAGTAAATTGGGCCGGCTGCACCACTCAACTCTCTTACTGTTCTACAGACATCATACAATTGCTCTCTGGTTCTGGCAAGATGATCTTTATTCCATCCTCCACGCATGGCTGGTCTATTCTGTCACCATGCTTCTCTGATTGTCAATTGCTCAGAGTGCTGAGAAAATAAGCTTCCCTTCTACCTGGCATCCATGCCTCTAGTCCATTTGTATCTGCCTCACATGTACTTCTTCCAGAAAAAAAAAAAAAAAAGTTCCTAAAAAACTCAAATGCCTACCCAGCCTGTGTCCAGCTTTAGCTTAAAATATGGTCCTCTTAAAAAATGCATGTATATCATTTTGAAGTGGTTGCTAAAGACTAGAAGTTTATGGGCAGCAAGACCTACTCCTTGGTGTGTTCTTGATTTCTCCCTACTTCCCTCTGGACAGAAATAGCTATACAGTGCTCTAACACAATAACAATGAATATCCTTTACCACATCGTGTACAGATCAATGCTAGTGAAGGTAAGATGAGTGAAGAGGTTTTCTCCTGGATGCTAATGTACGCTTACACAAGGAAAGTCAAACAATTTTTATTTGTTGTTGTTGCCCTTTAGCAATTCATTATAATATGAACCTCACTGCCATCTGGGTATCTGAAGCAATCAGTTGGAGATTCAATATTTCCTTCCAAGCCAAATACTGAAGTGAGGGAAATTCTAACAGTAATTTATGATCAAACTGCTAGAAGAATACTGGAGAGCAAAATTATTATTCTTAAGGCAAAATACAAAATGAGTTGGGCTTAAAAAATTTGGTCATTTCAAGGCTTCCCTGGTGGTCCAGTGGTTGAGTCCACCTTGCAATGCAAGGGGCATCCGTTTGATCCCTGGTTGGGGAAGACTCTGCCAAGCAACTAAGCTCGCACACAGCTACTGAACCCTCACTCTGCAACCACTGAAGCCGGTGCACCTGGAGCCGGCGCTCTGCAATAAGAGAAGCCGCTGCAACAAGAAATCCACGTGCCACACTGAAGAGTGAGCCCCTGCTTGCTGCAGAGAGAAAGCCCTTGTGCAGCAACAAAGACCCACCATAGCCAAAAAAAAATTTTAAAAGAAAAACAAATTTTTTTAAAATCAGGTCATTTCAAATTAGTATCTTTGTACAACAGTGAAGGAGTGTTAATGGGTACAAAATGGAAACTGAAAATTGGAAGATGCTACAAAAACCACTGAAACAGAAAAGTAAAGCATAAATTCTAGTATTAGGCACAGTTGTGATGAAGACTATTAGCCCAATTGGATCAACTAGGATCGTCTGGTTAGGAGATGCCATTCCCCACTGTGTGTGCCCATGCGTGACCCCTAACTGATCACGGCAGCACTTTTTCCAGTCCTGCCACGCAGAAGTTCAGAATTCTTCTTAGGTGGCTGCCAGCCAAGATCCAACCAGTGCATCCTAAAGGAAATCAGTGCTTAATGTTCATTGGAAGGACTTCTGCTGAAGCTGAAGCTCCAATACTTTGGCCACCTGATGCGAAGAACTGACTCATTTGAAAAGACCCTGATGCTGGGAAAGAGTGAAGGCGGGAGGAGAAGGAATGGACTGAGGATGAGATGGCTGGATGGCATCACTGACTCAATGGACATGAGTTTGAGTAAACTCCAGGAGATGGTGATGGACAGCGAGGCCTGGTGTGCTGCAGTCCATGGGGTCACAAAGAGTCAGACACGACTGAACAACTGAACTGAACTGAGCCACAGTGCGGGTTATGTGTGTGTATACTCAGCCATTCAGTAGTGTCTAGCTCTCTGAGACCCCATGGACTGTAGCCCGCCAGGCTCCTCTGTCCCTGGGATTCTCCAGGCAATACTGGAGTGGGTCGCCATGCCCTCCTCCAGGGGATCTTCTCAACCCAGGGATCAAACCCGTGTCTCTTATGTCTCCTGCACTGGCAGGCAGATCCTTTACCAGCAGCGCCACCTGGGAAGCCCAGTGGTTTGGATTATCACCCCACAAACACGCACACCCCTCTTCCTTCCTCTGCAGGCAGAGTCAAATCCCATGCCTCCCTGACACAGGATGTGGCCCGAGGACTTGTGACTAATGGGATGTAACCTGAAGAGAGGTCTTGGGTGTGCTTCTGGGCTTGGGCTTGTGCCCTGGTTTGTCCCCTGAGAAGAGCAGCCCCAAGCAGTCACTGCCTCTTTAGCCTGGGTCTCATAACAAATGTATGTGAAGTGCGCCGGAACTTGGCCGGCAGCCTGACGCAGGACACAGGAGACGAGTAAAAGAAAGAAGTCACGGTGTTCTTCCACTGAGTTTTAGGGTCGTTGGGTATACACTGCAATTTTGGCAATAACTGATTAACACAGAATTTCAGATGTAACTTATTTGTTATCTCTGTCGTAAAAACTTAAAGCGTGAGAAAACAGAGCAGGATAAAGTAGACCAGATCTATCTGAGATAACAAGGGGCCACTGTGACAAAGAAATAGCCATGTTGGTAGTTGGAACCACAGTCTTAAAATTCAGATTTCAGTCTTCCTCATAAATAAATCTAATTCACTCAGTCTACAGATTAAGGACGACAAGGCTGAAAGAAATTCAATGGTTTGACAGGATCAGGGTGTTAGCTGAAACCTCTTCATTATTAATACTGCATTCCCTTTGTGGCAAAACAATAATGTGTGTTTCTCAGAGGACTGCTTTCCTGCGTTCTGAAGCAGGGAAAACTGAGTGGCCCAGCAGGGTCAAGAGAAAAAAGCAGTGACCAACCCCTGCTGCCACACTGCCCGGCTTTGTCCCCCGAGAGCCTACCTCTCGGGTCCCTAAGGAAAACCATGCACCCTGTCTGAGATGCAGGTCATGGACCAGAAGGCTGACAAAGCAAAATCCCACCAGGCAATAAAAATCAGAAGACAACACCTTAGCATTAAAAAAATGCTAAGCATTAAAAAATCTGATGGTTTAACCTCAGAGCAAACCATTTTAGTTTGTAAAATAGTCTGGGCCACCTATTCTTCAGGAGAGAGCCAAAGAAGGAGATGATTTCAGACACAAACTCTTCAGCTAAGGTTGACTCAACCCTTCAGCAGTAAGTTCCGGCCTACCAAAGTGATTTCAGAGGCTTTAGGAAGACTACCTAATCAGGTTACCCCATCAAGTTAAAGTTAACACTTTTCTTCCCCTTTGGCTCAATGTCACCCAATGTCAAGCAAAATTAGATACTGTTGTTACTAAAATATCCTTCTGGAAGTAAAATTCCAGCATCTTGCTTCTTAGAACCTATCCAAGTGCTTAGCACAAAAGAGCACTCAATATTTTTTGAATGAATGGATGGGAAAAAACATAAAGTGACTGTTCAATATTTATGTTATTGCTGGTGTGACTTACAGATTTATACTATAGTTTATTGTAACCAACAGCAGAGTTACAAATTTTAAAAAAATATAGTAAGGTTAAATTTAAATTCCACTAACTTTTCATTCATTCACTTAACAAATATTAATATCAATCCTTGCTATGTATAAGTAACATGTGATTTTCTGTAGTCTGTGCTCATCCTCATTCATGTCCGATTCTTTGCAACCCCATGGACTGTAGCACACGAGGCTTCCCTGTCTATCACCGACTCCCAGAGCTTGCTCAAACTCACGTCGATCAAGTCAGGGATACCATCCAGCCATCTCATGGAGATGGCCCATCAAGGAGATGGTCCCCTTCTCCTCCTGCCTTCAGTCTTTCCCAGCATCAGGGTCTTTTCAAATGAGTCAGTTCTTTGCATCAGGTGAACAAAGTATTGGAGTTTCACCTTCAGCATCAGTCCTTCCAATGAATATTCAGGACTGATGTCTTTTAGGATGGACTGGCTGGATCTCCCTGCAGTCCAGGGGACTCTCAAGAGTCTTCTCCAACACCACAGTTCAAAAGCATCAATTCTTCAGGACTCAGCTTTCTTTATGATCCAACTCTCAGATCTATACATGACTACTGGAAAAACCATAGCTTTGATTAGATGGACCTTTGTCGGAAGGCAATGGCTCTGCTTTTCAGTATGCTATCTAGGCTGGTCACAGGTTTTCTTCCAAGGAGACAGCATCTTTTGATTTCATGACTGCAGTCACCATCTGCAGTGATCTTGGAGCCCAAGAAAACAAAGTGTCTCACTGTTTCCACTGTTTCTTCTTGTCTCTTGTTTCCATTGTCTCCATTGTCTCTAAGGAGAGCCCTTAGCAAATCAAATAGCTAACTTCCCTGCCCTCAGGAAACTGAAGATAGTTTAATAAGAGAAAAAGCTTAAACATGCACAAGCGCACGCGCACACACACACACACACACACACACACACAAATATAAAAGAACTAAGAAAAGAAACAGGGAGCTATATCTGAGTGTAAGAGTAGGTACACATTTCAGAGGCTCGGAGAAGGTCTCTCAAATAAATAATCCCACAAAGTTTCATTTGAAATGTGTAAACTGGAAAATAAACAGGCCATCAGGAAATATCATTTTTTTCCCACACAACCCTGCACCTGAAATGCAGCAGTGAATGGAATAACATATATGTACATACAGCAAGCAGGGGCCCCTATGTTTTAGCAGCTATACCCTAAGATTTGCCCTTTCAGGGTCTTAGAGGTTTCCCAAACCATTGTTGTTTTAAAGTTAAAACCCAACAAATCTCTAGAATTAAATCTTTTGAAACTTGATTATACATTATATGTATATAAAATGCCCAACTTCCAAACATACCAAGTAAATAATCTGTGTATGAAGACAAAAGATCCATGGAAGCAAATTCTGGGATATTTGATAATGCCCCTTGGCTAACTTTATCAGTTCTAGCATTCTTCTTTCCAATAAGTAGATTAATTGCCAGCACAGCCTCACTGACCTAAAATTAATGCATAATTAGAATTCATAAATGCAAGCTTTTTGATTCATAGATATCCATTAGGTGAAGAATGTGAAAAAGCAAATTCATAATATTTGGTATACATTGGAGGAAAAATAAACACAATCTGAAAAACAATATGTGATTCCCTGCATGTACTATGCATCATAGTCAAACAAATCATGATTGTTGACAATTGAATCAATAAATAAGTCACTCTGAATAGGCTCCCTCACCTAGCTGTGATAGATATTTCCCCAAATACATGCACATGTGTTATCTGCCAATACTTTCATTAAAGAAAAGTTGAAGCAAACAAACCAAGTCTGGCTAATAGAGATTGAAAACACTACACATATAAAGAGCACTTCTAATTGCCCCAAAGAAATATCATTGGCACAAATCTCAAAGAATGTGAAATTTTTCTTTCTCTAGAATAAATAGATTGTATTGCCTTAACAGATGTGACAGTAAAGAGAAGAATTAAATAAAAATCACACCAACCTGTGCAGCAGCTCTTATTGCAATCCAGGCAAATGAACTGTACATTTCATGCTTATTTATTATCGGTTCTTTAATAGAACTATGCCTTCTGGGAAGAGCCTACAAAATATGGCAAATATTTTACGATAAAGACAGATAAAGATATCATAAAGTTTAATGATAGATTTTCTAATCTTCTGAAGATGAGATTTTAGTGTAACACTGTGTAGCCATTAAGAAAAATAATGTACATGCATCTATCAACATGAAGATATCCTAATCATATCAGCAAAAGAAAAGTGTAGGTTACAAAATAGCATGCAAAGTATGATCCCATTTTTTAAAAGATAGGTACATATATATTTCTCTGTATACACAAACAGAGATTATTATCAACAGTGGTTATTCCAGGTTTTAAGGGTAGTTTAATTATATTTAACTTTTTTGTGTGATTTTCTAGATGAGCTTACATTATTTGAATATCAATAAAATAAACAGAAATGGCATTTTAAGTGTTATTTACCATTTTAATAGAATATCTATAAATTGAATATGTATTGTGTGTAAAGATGTCAGAAATAGGAATATTACTTAAAGATTTTTGATAGGTATTTGCCATCAGCTTTCTAACTACAGAACTGCTAAAAGGATGACTGTAATCATGAAGTTTTACAGAATAGCAAAAAGTGACAATGAACAGAGATACATGCAATGTGAGGGTCTGCGTGTGTGGCATGTGTGTTCAGCTTTTAAATATAAAAAAATCAATAATACAGAAGTAAACAGAAACCTTGCCAGCAACATAGTAGCTGTCTGTTTTACATTTTTAAAGTATTAATAATCAAATTTAAAGATTCAACTAATCTGGAATAACTATTCGATTAGATGGCTTATTCTAATTTGTTGATGTTCATATTTTACCTGATTTTTCAGATCTTCAACAATAAAATAAGCAATAACAAAAATACTTTTTTTACTTCTGGCAATAAGAAAAAGAAAAAGGAAAAAAAGAAAAGGAAGAGCAATGAGTAAAGCTGATGCCAGAGCAGGAAATACAATGCATAAATGTGACTAGATCAAGTGTTAAACTTGGAGACAGGTGATACCTGGAGAGATCGGTCCATGGGGAATCTAAAATCTAAGAAAAGTAGCACTGTTCCAAATATGAAGACCATCCTCACTAGCTGTAATAACACAGATTAGGCTCTGGGGTGGCCATTGCCAGCTTACTGACTATAACCTTGGGCAATTTACCTATTTAATTCTGGACACAAGGCTAACAGGCATTGAGTACAGAATAAAATTAAGTAACGATATTGTAAGAACAATTAGTGACACAGACATTCAAAAAAGAAAGTTCATTTTGAATTGAGAGGAAGGCTTTATTGAGGTCAAACTTGAGCTCAGAATGGAAACAGGAAAAAAAATACGATGGGTATTTTTCTACATGGGAGGTGTTCAACACTGCATATGAGATACTAGCCTATACAAACAGGTAAGAAAAACTTAAAAATGCATCTAGAATAGGAAATGAAGTTAAATTGTTTGCAAGGAACATGATCCTATATGTAGAAAATCCCAAGATACACACACACACACACACACACACACACACACTCCTCTAGAATTAATGAATGTGCTTAGCTAGGTCACAAGATACAAAACTCAATATTCATAAATCAATTGTATCAGTAATGAACAATCTGAAAATGAAATTAAGAAAATACCCATTCATGACAGCAATAATCTCAACAAAAATGTATAAAATGTGCATACTGAAAAGTAAAAAATACCATCAAGACAAATTAATATCTAAATAAATGAAGAGAGTTCATATACATGAATTGAGGATTCAAAATTGTTAACATGCCAAATGTCCACAAATTACTTGTAGATTCAACATAATCTGTACCAAAATTCTGCTTTTTGGCAGAAACTAAGCAGATTCTAAAATGAAGAAGAAATGCAAAAGATTCAAAGTGAAAATAATTTTGAAAAGGAAGAACATAATTGGAGGACAAATACTTTCCAATTTCAAAAACTTACTACAAGCCATACAGTAATCAAGACAGTATACTCACATAAAGGTAGAATTATAGATCAATGGAATAGAATTGGAAGTCTAGGAATAAATATTTATACTTTTGATCAATAAATTTTTTGACAAAGGAGCCAAGGCAATTCAAGAAAGAAAAGATAGTCTGTACAACAAGTGATGCAATTAATATCTATGTGCAAAAATATGAATTTAGAGCCTTACCTCACACTTTACACAAAACTTAATTCAAAATGTACCATGATGGACTTAAGCATTAAAGCTAAAAAACTTTTAGGAGAAAACACAGGAGAAAATCTTCAATATCTGGGGTTAGGTAAGGTGCTACTAAAACCACAAAATATATATAAAAAAAAAGATAAACTGTACCTCATTAAAAGTAAAAACTCTTGTTTCTAAAGATACCATTAATTGCATGAAGACAAGCCATCAACTTGAAAAAATACCTATAAATTATATATCTGATAAGGGACATATATCTAGAATACATATGTTTTAAAAGTCTTATAACTCAATGATAAAAAAGATAACTCAATTTAGTTTATGGGCAAAATATTTGAGTAGATATTGTCCTAAAGAAGATATACAAATGGCCATTAGGGATATGCAAATCAAAATCCTAATGAAATACTGCTTAATACCCACTAGGATGGCTATAATCAAAAAGATAAATAATAACAACTGCTTGCAAGGATGTGGAGAAAGTGAAACCCTCATACACTGCTGGTAGGAATACACAATGGTACAGCACTTAGGAAAACAATATAACAGATCATCAACAGGCTAAACAAAGAGTTGAAGTATGACCCAGAAATCCCATTCTTAGGTATACACCCAAAGGAATTGAAAACACATTCACATAAAAAATCTGTATCTGGAATTGAGAGAGTAGCACTGAAACATACACATTACCATATGTAAAACAGACAGCTAAAAGGAAGCTACTGCATAACACAGGGAGCTCAGCGTGGTACTCTGAGAAACCCAGATAGGTGGGAGGGGGTGGGGGTGAGGGGGAGGTCCAAGAGGGAGCGGTAACAATTCATATATCCAGCTCCAGTTGAATGAATCAAGAAAAGGTAATAAAACTATATAAAGGAATACTACTCAGAAGTAAAAGGAACAAATATTGTTACATGTTACAAAAGGGATGACCCCCAGGAACATAATGCCATGTGAAAGAAGCAGGCATGAGAGATTACATACTGTATGATTCCATTTAAGTGAACTATCCAGGAAAGATAAATCTACAGAGACAGAAAACAGACTAATAGCTACCTGGGACTAGAGGTAGAAATGGGAATGACAGCAAATGGGCACTTGGGATCTTTTGAAGATGAGGGAAATGTTCTAAAACTGGATGGTGATGATAGTTACACAACATGTAAAATTATTAAACATCTATGAATTGCACTCTTAAAATAGGTTAATTTCACAGATATAATTTATGCTTCAATAAATCTATTTTCTAAACATGTATTTGATAATCTCTCTCTTTGGACTATTTTTTCTCTCAATTCCTTGGAAAACTTCTACTTATCCTCCAAAACTCATCTCATCTGTAAAGCTTTCTCTTACATCCCCCCAAAGCAGAATTAGCTACTTTGCCCCACTTCCCTACTTGACCTATCTTACTATAGACCTCAGTACATCTCAATACAATTATTTCTTTCCTTGCTCCTCTGTGCTTCTTAGAGGAAGAGAGTGACATGCTTGGCATACATTAAGCACTCAATAAGTGTTTGTTTGACAAATGAATACATGAATGAATGTTCAAGAAATAGTTCAACTAACTATTGGATACCTACTATGTACAAAATCCTTCAGAAAGATACAAAGTTGGAGTCTAGTCAGAGTTGCATAATGATAAAGGATAGTCCCCTCACCTCTTTTGGGGTTTTCTTTTGGGTACTTATTATGTGCCGAGTCTTTTACTTCACTTAATTTTCCTAGCTACTCTCAGGGGTAAGTACCGTCACCTTCATTTCACAGATACGGAAACTTGGGTCAGAAAGGCTTCGGTCCCACTGGTATTAATAGTGCGTCATGAAGCTAGGACTTCAACCCAAACCAGGGTGACAGTCACTGCACTCCAGACTCCATATCAGTGAAACAATAATGCTCTCTTTGCAGTATTTATATAGCAATTGTCTTTACTAAGACATATTTTAAATGTTCTATTTCAGTGGTCTGAATATGCCTAGATGAATTTTTGTTGTTTTTGACTGTTTTCTGTGTGTCTAATAATTGTAGGTCTTGCTAAAATATTTATGCTGTGTCAAGATATACAGAAAATAACGCTCGCATTGTGTTTGTTGTTGCTGTTCAGTCACTGGAGCTATACTATTCTTTCACCCAAATCTTATTTGTTTAAGCTCCTAATTATGAACAGCTCCCTAGAGAAGGCCCAAAAGGTGATATATTTTTTATCCTAGCATCTTATTAATCTGCATTGCAAATTGCCATGGAAACAAAGCTTTCTGTTTTCTCTTACTGGATGTAAAGATGTGTATCATATCACAAAAGTTAAGTTTTCTATGTAATCATTTTGATGAAAAAAAAAAAATAGCTGTTACCCACCTAAGGCAGCAACCATTTAAGTTGTTCCAACTGACTGAAAGCCTATTTGTCTGCAGGATTTAAATCATGTTTATGTTGTCTCAAAGATTAGAGATTTGACATCAAAATTTTCTGGAGAGGTTTTTTGGTGGGTCAGAGGATTATTTAATGAGAATGAAATATATAAAGCCTATTGAAATCTACAGAATAAACAATTAGATAGTATTTTTTGAAAAATAAAAACCAAGTTTAAAAAAAAAAAATTAAAACAAAGTTCCCCGCCCAACTTCCTGCCTAGAAAATCTCCGTGTCTGGGGTGCTCAGGGCTGGTGCACTGGGATGACCCTGGGAGATGGGATGGGGAGGGAGGTGGGAGGGGGTTCTGGATGGAGAACACATTTGCACCTGCGGCTGATTCATGTTGATGTATGGCAAAACCCACTACAATGCTGTAATTAGCCTTCAATTAAAATTAATTAATTTTTTTAAAAAAGAAAGAAAATCTCCCTGTCTGAATCCTGGGTACTCAGGTGTGGTTCACAGACCAGCAGCATTGGCATTTCTAGGAGCTCCTGAGAAAGGCTGAACCTCTGACCTCAACAGGATCCCTGGAGATGTTCCTGCTCCTTATCTGGAAGCACTGCTCGATGGAGTGCATGCCTCTGCCACCCTGCAAGGCTCCCTCCCAAATGATCAAATCTCACTTTTCACCTCTTTCCACTGCAGTCATTCACAATCCCACCAACTCAAGTTATTTCTTAATCCTAAACTTCCCCACCTAAAATACCCCCAACCTTCCTTCCCTTCTCGGCCTCCCTGACTCCCTCCCACCCTTCCTCCTTCACAGGTTTACTGCCTGTCTCCCTGCACTGAAGAGGAAGTGCATGGGGACAGCACTGAGATTGTCCTGGACCTGCTCTGTCACCTTCCAGAATACAGTCTGGGTCATAGGAATCTCAATGGATATGTGATAAATGAATGAATGACTTTTCAAAAGATGATCTGTTTGCCAGCCACATCAGTAATGAAAACCATACTCGTCTATCAGCTTAAGCAATATGTCATTTCCTGCAAACACCTGATCAGTCCCAATGACTGAGCATATTTATATGCACCTACATTTCATGGATAATATTTTAACAGGCAAAAATCTCCAAATGAAATCCATTTCCAGAATCTTATGTAAAAATGTCCAAAGAGGTACCTAAATATGAGTATGAGCTTAAAATAATGAATTAATTCCTCCAAGTCACAAAGAAAAATGTCTCTTTATATCCATACCAGAGGTAGCAAAATAAGCAAGCTCAAAGGCAATATACTTTACATTTAATACTTTATATTTCTAATAAAATCATTTATTACCTTAATAATCGTCAATGGTGACACTGAAAGTTTGCTCTTTGACTTCCTCATGTGTAAAAATAATAAGGCTATTTCAAGGTAGGAGTCTCTTATCAACCTAAAACAATAAAACACTGTACTTACTACATAGTCTCACTACTCATAAGCATCATTTTGTATCATGTGACAACAATTTCTGAGCAAATGAAGGTAAAAACAGGCAAAACTAGCACCTGTTCCAAACTGACCCTTTTTTCATAGCACCTGTGGCTTAAGCACTGGCATCTTCCTCCCTACTGAAATCAGAAGCGCTCACAAACAGCTGCATGTTCTTCCTTGTCCTGTGCTGTCCTCCTGCCAGGACTGCAAGGAAGTCCAGCATCAAGGCCATTCTGGAATATTCCAGCACACGAGGCACTACAGAAGTGACAGTCAAGCCTGCAGAGACCCGCCTGGCAAACAGGTGTCTGTCTCGACCCTCCTACACTGATCAGATCCTAAACAGACACACAGAGGTATGCTGAAAGCCACGACTCGGTGTGGGTGAGGGCTGTGTCCACTCTCAAACCTGACAGACAGGGTCATTTAAATCAGTGCAGTAAGTCATTATATAGAATTGAGTTGGCCAGCCTTGACACTGATGCAGCGTGACACAAACCCCTTCTCGATACAGTTTCATATCCGGTGGAAGTTCCTGTATCCTGGGACTGACAGGAGATCAAGCTGAGTGTAGCCCAGAAGTGATTTTCAGTCCAGCATGTCACCAGCCTAACTGCTGTCATCAGCTGTCACTGAGAACGGAGCCTTGGGGAGGAGCCCAAAGCAACAAGCTTGAAAAGGAAGTCAGTGAGCCAGGTGGACAATGGACACCCCAGACTAGCCCTGCCACGAGAGTGTCCCAGTCATTTCAACATACATCCAGAACACGGCGCTCAAATCCAAACACATATTGTGATAATGGAAAGGTCTTTTCTTTTTTTACCCTGAATTTTGATCATGTCTCAAGCTTAGCTGTATAGCTTCAAACAGACTCTCAAGTTGCAAAGTTGGAGGTTTCTCTTCCATCAATATTTGACATTCTATTTTGCCTGAAAGAGAAAAAGGATATACAAAGATGGATTTTCTTTTTTCTACCATTGAGGACTTCAGAACAAATATTTTACGCTGGAAATTTGGAAAACTGGATGTGCTCTCCTTGCGTGTCCATCTCTTGTTTCCTGCTGGAAGGTACGCCATCGGGGAAAGAGCTGCTGCTTCCTTCCCTGGGCACCTCGAGGCTCCCCTGCCTCCTTTCACTGTTCAGACACAAGTGTTATCATCCTATTTTCCTTCCATTTCCTTACTTTGTGCTCTCACTTCCTCCTGCAGTGTATTCCTTTAATCTACATCCATTTTCTTCTTTCCTCCATCATTGCAGGCATCATAGGAAACACCTTTGCTAGCAACAAATCCTAGAAAATCAGCAAACACTGGAAAACCAACAGATGATGCAAATGCTCTCATGTGCACACAGCTCCCCCTCCCTCATGGTGAGCTGCAGCCTTCAAAAGCCGGGCGCTGGAATGCTACTTCTATAGCCAGAAGGACTGGAAAGGGAAATCTCATAATCACTATAAAAAAGATTGACATGCAGCATGTGGACAGAGCATAGAGCCACCTCATGTGAAGATCACATCTGGGCATTTAGTAGCTCTTGACATATAGATGGCTATTTACCCAGACTGCCCTCGTCTGCCAACCAGGATTGATCATGCCTACCTTGTAGCGCTATTGTAGGAACTGGCAATATGAGATGTAACACACTGATTACAGTGCTTTATACCTAGTAGATGTTCAATAAATGATACCAGTTGTCATCATCACTCTCTCAGGGCTAAAATGGCCACAACAAAGTTATATGAATGCATTATGCAAATGTGTATTGTAAGTTATAAGTACAGATATGCTATAGCTACTTAAATGGATAGGTATCTTTTACAGAAACTGGCTATTTCAGCTAAGTAATGAAATTATGCATAAAAATATCTCCTAAGCATTCTTTAAGTAACATTTTTCAGCTAAATGACTGATAATGAGATTTTGGTGTCAAACGTGAAACTTTGTGTAAGGAAAGCCAGTTGTTTATAAAAGAAATGAAAATAGGAGTCTTTTTTCCCTTTCTAGATGTAAACTTAATATAAGCATGTTCATTTTATCCAAAACTCAGTTTGGCAGAGACATCAAGGTGTTTGTCAACACCACACCCTTTGTAAAATCAACATTTTATATAATCAGTGACCAGGTTTTTAAGAAGTCTTTGTTAAAAGGAAAAAAAATTTCGCCAAACTTTATCATAGTTGTGACCCCAAATACATCTTACCTTTCTGAAAAAAGATTTCAGCTTCCACCTCATGTTCTTCTGTTCCTGATGCCCTAGCGAGCTTCAAAGCTATTTCAAAAAAATGAAGGGCAGGTAACCACTTTGAAGAATCCTTCTTTTTACTGGTATAATATACTTGCTTGGCCACTGTATGTCCTAAAAGAAAGACATTAGATTAAGAGGGAGAAATATACATAGTGTTCATAACAAGGGCTTCGCAGGTGGTGCTAGTATAAGAACCCGCCTGCAATGCAGGAGATGCCAGTTCAATCCCTAGGTTGGGAAGATCCCCTGGAGGAGGGCATGGCAACCCACTCCAGTATTCTTGCCTGGAGAAACCCATGAATAGAGAAGCCTGGCAGGTTAAGGTCCATGTGGTTGCAAACAGTCAGACACAAATGAAGCGACAGCATACACACACACCCATTCATACCCAACCTCCCAGTTAACAGACTCCTCTCACTATAGCTGCAGTTAAGAAGTCTGGGTGTGTGGGCGGAGGAGGGTCCCTGGTAGCCTAGTGGTTAAGATTCCAGGCTTTCACTGCTGTGCCCTGGGTTTAATCCCTGGTCAGGAAATGAGCTCCCATAAACCCTTAGCAAGGCCAAAAAAACAAAAAAATTGAATTCTAGGTGTCTTTAGTTTTTAGCATTGAAGAAACACTTTAAGGAAACTCAGTACCCAAATATTTCAATGAACTATAAACAACAGCCTTTTGAAACTTGGTCTTTGATAAATTTCAACATTTTTCTCATTTATAAGATGAAGAATAATCTCTTGAGTCTTTTTCCATTCTAAAAGTTCACAATGCTCTACATAACTTCTGGGTTCCAGAGATAAGGTTGTTAGTAGCGAACCACTGGGAAGTTTTATAAAGTTTTATGTTGTTCCAAATAAAATCTGCATATATTAATAGGCAGTAATTTCTATTCAGTTCTATAGTGGTTCCTCACGTTGCATATTTTCTCATTACAACTTGTTGGCAAACCCATTATGGACAAAGACCTCATGTCACACCTCTGGTATGGTCCCATCACTTCTTAACATAATAAAGGATTATTGTATTATTGAAGGGTCATTAGATTTAATTTCTAATCACCTCAAAGAGAGACAGACATTTATTCCACAAATATTTTCTGAATTCTTAGGCACTGGATAAGAAAGAGAACAGTGGAAAATAAGAACTAAGGTTCCTAAAATGCCAGGTACCATCCCAAGTACTTATGCATTATCTCATGCAATCCTTCCAGTTCTGAGTGGATATCATTATTATGCTCATGTTACAGAGGAAAAAGCAGTGGCACAGTTAAGTTTAAGTAAATTGCCCAAAATCACACAATCTGAACCTAGGCAGTCCAGCGCCAGGACCCATACCCTAAACCACTACTCTTTAAGAGAGAGACCCTGGAGCTTAATGTCTAACAGGGACTGTGAACAGCCAGACAGGCAATCAAAATACTTTGTGGTTGACTGTGTAGGCAGTGAAAGCCCAGGACACTGTGGTAGCAGGTTATAGGAGCCCTGGGCGAGACCTGAGAAAGGTCAGCGATGCCTGCCGATTGAGTACAGCCATCAAGGTGGGTAACTGCTGATCACCTTTGATAAGTTTAAAGAAGAAAAATGTTGAGATAAAAGTAAAAGGCAACTGGGTGGAAAAGTTGTATTGATAGAATAGCTTAACAGGCATAGTAGGGGGAGCGTGAAGAGAAAGGCAGTGTAGAGTTGCAGAATGATACAACTCTGGGTTCCAGCTGGAATCCTGGGCGCAAGCCAGGCATTGGAGTTACTGTGTCACCAGAGGCTCTGAGTGGTCCCTACACGCCACTGAGCATTGAGGCAGCAGAACCAGAAACTATCAGAGGTTTCTTCGAGTTCTAAAAATTTGAAATCCAAGATGCCAGGCCCTACAAAGAGTTTTTAAGAAGCCTAGGGTTTTGTTTTGTTTTTTTTTTTTTTTTTTGCAAATGTGTAGTTTACTTACGAATGAGCTATTTGAATAGAAGGATGGTGGGGAAAAGGGTCTTTCTCCCTCCCTCTCTCTCTGATCCAAGGAGAAGTCACATCTGGACAAGGCACTTTGCTGAGAAATGGAGATGAGGAAACTGAAGGCTTGCCTCCTGGGGCTCCCTAAGAGAGGAAGGAGGCCTGGTACGGAACAATGAGAATAGCTGACACCTGTGAAGCTCTGAGAACAAATCAGGTGCCCTTCTAAATGTGCTACACATTCCGCTCACTTCATCCTGTGAGATTGGTACTTTTCTTACCCACATCTTACGAGAGAGGAAACTGAAAGCACAGAGAAGGGGAGTGATTTCCTGGAGGGAACTGGACCAGAATTCTTTCTCCAGAGTCCATGCTCTTAAACCCAATAATCACCACCAATGATCAGATGGCAGGCAAGAAGGATATGCTAATACCATTTGTCCTATACCACCTCACATCTCAAGACCTCTCCCATTCTTACATGTCTTGCTTATTGTTTCAAAGTATACTACAACTGTTTATTAACATAAAACAAAAGAATCAAGTCTCTTCATGTCATTGAGGCACTTATATACATGTACAATGTGTACTGCTGCTAAGTCACTTCAGTCGTGTCCGACTCTGTGCGACCCCATACACGGCAGCCCACCAGGCTCTCCCGTCCCTGGGATTCTCCAGACAAGAATACTGGAGTGGGTTGCCATTTCCTTCTCCAAAGCATGAAAGTGAGAAATGAAAGCGAAGTCGCTCAGTCGTGTCCGACTCAGCAACCCCATGGACCGCAGCCCACCAGGCTCCTCCGCCCGTGGGGTTTTCCAGGCGAGAGCAGTGGAGTGGGCGCCAGTGCCCCCTCCACAACATGTACTACAGTACTATAAATAAGTACTGACATACAATAATACCACTTGTTTTCTATGTTTTTGTTAAAACTAGAAAAAGAATTGTTACAGAAATTGACTTTTCTCTCTCTCCCCCTAACTAGATAACAGATCCTTTGAAGGCAAAGATGATGGCTCCTAGTTATAGTCCCACTCCCCAGCATTATTCTTGAACCTTTCTTCAATCAGTAATCTACTTCTTCAACTAATAAGGAAGTTCTAGGTTCAGTCATTAATGGGAAAAATAATCTTTAATAATCATGATACTTATCTTTTTGTTGTTTTAGGAAAATAATCTCAAAATGTCTTTCTCTGTAAGAGGTTTTCACAAAGAAAAAAATAACCTAAGTTCCTCTGTTCTTGCAATGCAATCTATACTATCACTGTAAAGGAAAACTGTAGAGAAACATCAAATCAGAGGATTTTTATGCTTCATAATATTGAAGCACTCCTTTTTGCAATAAACATCAAGACTGTGAAAAAGATGTTGTGAAGCTGATGTTGTTTTGACAGAAGAGCTGCTTTTGGTTTTTGTTCTTTAAGTTGGTATTTAATATAACATAACAGAAAGCAAGCTGTTCTGCTTCAAGTGAGTCTAAAAATCAGCAGCAGTGTTGCCACTGAGTGGTGACACATCTTCAAGATTAGTAAGGCAGGAGAGCAGAGAATACATTTAACACAATCTGTGCTTTAAGTTCTTGTAGAAGTCCAATATATTGATAATATAAACTCTGGGCTAAAAATGTAGGAAAATAGCTCTCATGGGATCAGTGAACAGGACAGGAATTCTGCAGGTCAGCTAGGCTAGCCTGATTTCATAAATAAGGAAACATTAATAATAGGGGTGAATGGATTTCCCTACAGCAATAAAATTCATTAATGATGATAATCATAAAATAATAATAATCATGATGAGGAGGAGAAGAAGGGGAGTAAGGGGAAAAGATTCTGGGCAGTTTGAACACACTTCTGTTACCCTCCCTCCCCAAGTCTAGTCCAATCACCAGCCTCTCCTGAGCTGAACAGCTGCTGGAACAGGACGTAAGTGGGGCCCAGGAGGTGAGGGGTGAGCTCCAAAACGTTGGTTTGGCGGTTATTCAAGAATGACAAGGCCAGCAGGTCAGGAGATGATCGCCACTGAAAGAATGGCTCCTTTTTGCTCAAAGTTCTCAAGAGGACCTGGGCACACGGGGCAGCCCAGAGCAGCGTGAGGGCCAGTCAGGAGACGCAGGTGCTCCAGGGAGGAGCACAACCCTGCTCCCGCTGGGCCGGTTTCTTCCGTTTTAACCCCTGCTTCCCACTGCTTTTCTTTATTAAAAGCACAGTGTCTATACACAATGGTCTGCCTCAGGGAACATTGCCACTCTGTCTGAACGTGAAGCCAAAGTGCCTTTGTTTAGGGAGACACCCTGGTCCTGTCCACCTGTGGACGGCTACAGAAAGGTAGAAATTAAATGCACGTACTCTGTGAGGTTGGCCATTCCAGGAGATATCTGCAAGATGAATGGCCTTTTTACTTTAGCTCCTCACCCTCCCCTGCTCTGTGTTCCATAAAAGATACTGGCATCCAGACTCCGATAAGATGGCTATTTTGAGATGTTAGTCTGCCATCTTCTTGGTCAGATGGCTTTCTGATTAAAGTGGTATTCCTTGCCTCAACACCTCATCTCTGATATATCGGCCTGTTGTGTGGCAAGAAGAGCGAGCTTGGACGGGGTAACAGAGGCGCAAGGAGAAAATGTGGGCAAGAGTCTTTATTGTGTTTTTTGTGGAAAGGAGTGGGTGGGTAGTGTAAGCAGACCAAGGTTTAGGATTGGTTAGTTTATATAATTTCAGTGGTCTCCGCTAGTAGTGTATATTTGTCTCTGGGGTGATTAGGGCAGAGAAATATTGGCTCCAAGGGTAGGAACCCAGCAAACTCACTAAAGGTTCTGGGTGTGGGCTGGAAAAGCTGGTTTGCATATAAAAGTCACCATCCCAGGAAAGTGGTTAATTAACTGGCTAACCCTGAGAGGGGAATTCCCTCCCTGGTCAGCAAGACTCCGGATGTCAAGGCATCAGGAATACATTTTTAAAAATGATTTTATTTATGTATTTATTTTGGGCTGCGTTTTGTCTTTGTTGCCGCGCTGGCTTGTCTCTAGTTGTGCTAAGTGGGGGCTGCCCCCTAGCCCCTTGCACTGCAGGGGCTTCTCATTGTGGTGACTCCTCTTGCTGGAGAGCATGGGCTCTAGGGCAGGTGGGACTCAGTAGTTGCAGCTCCAGGCTCCAGAGCACAGGCTCAGTAGCTGTGGCGCATGGGTTTAGTTACTTGGTGGCTTGTGGGATCTTTCCAGATCAGGGATTGTACCCATGCATTGGCAGGTGGATTCTTTACCATCAAGCCACCAGGAAAGCCCCGGATATATGTTTCTTTCTTTCTTTTTTTTTTTAAGGCATGATTAATATAGGTTAGAACAAAGAGAGCTGTTACAAGATTTTCAGCCCTCTGAGACAGACAAGAGCCTTGGAGCTAGAGGCACATAGCTTTGGGTCAGCAGTGTCTGTGAGTTCCTGTGAAGGGTAGCAATACTGGTTTCCTAGGAGTTATATGGTAAATAATCTGCCTGCCAATGAAGGAAATGTAAGAGGTGCTGATTTGATCTCTGGATCAGGAAGATCCCCTGAAGAAGGAAATGGCACTCCACTCCAGTACTCTTGCCTGGAAAGTCCCATGGGCAGAGGTGCCTGGCAGGCTACACTCCATGGGGCACAAAAAGTCAGACGTGACTGAGCAACTGAGCGCGCGCACGCGCACATGCACACACACACACACACATCATACACACACACACACACACACCACACACACACACACACACACACACACACACCATACACACCCACACACCTCTGGCTTACTGGTCTACCTTCTACAATCAGGTCCTCTCTTGGCTGGCTTCAGGCTATCCTCCAATCTATTCTTCACTGAGCAGCCAGGGTAATACTCTGAAACATTACTGTTCCCTGATCACCTCCTCCCATTAGGCTGCCCCTGCCCCACTCTGCTCTGGCTGTAATGGTCTCCTTGCAGTTCTGGAATATGTCAAGTGTGTCCTGACCTCAGAACCTACAACTCACTGCTTGCTCTGCCTCCACTATGCATGACTCCACTATGCAATATTCAAGACTTCACTATGTATATGCATAATACTTACAGTCCAGAATTAAATACCACCTCCCCAAAGAAGCCTTTCCCAATTATTCTATTCAGTACTTAAATAGACACCCCTTCCTTTGCTATTCTTTATCAATGGACCTTACCCACATCTTTTATAACACTAATTACAATTACATACATAAACATAACTCATCATCATATTTAAGCTTTCTATATCCTTGCAGATTTCCTATATAGTTGTTATCAAATGCAGATTTCTATGAAATATATGTTGTATTAAATTTTCTAAATATTATAAAAATGTATGAATATTGAATAAATATTAAAATGTTTTATACAATATTTATAATATGATAAATATATAATATTCATTCTTATATATGATTTGTTTACTTGTTTATCTCTATCTTCAAGGTTAAGAGCAGGAACTACATCTGTTTTCATCTCCAGTAGCTTCCCAGGACCTCACATGGAGGCCGGCACATGGTAGGTGATCAGATGTCTGTTCCTTCATCAGCAAAAGAAAGAACTGAGTAGATAATTGCTTTCTAACATTTCCACTATCAAGTATCCTTTCATACAAACTACTTTTCTTTTTTTTTTTTTCCAAACTACTTTTCAACTAAAGGATTACACTGTGTAAATAGCTTTGTATAACCAGCTATTTAATTAAATGCCTTTGTGTGCAAGGAATAACATGGCACTAATAATAATTTTTTCAACTATTTTTTAAATAAATGGAATCTGGGTATTCATAAATATTGCCCCAAATTAGATGCACTCACAAGATAGCCTGCTTGAAAATAAATTAAACTTTTTTATCAGTGTCTTGAATATATGTTTAAGTGTCCTTACCAATTCTCATTTTTGTTTTGGCCAATAACATGACATGAGGAAGATAAATATTTTTCAAAGGCAGTACTGGACTTGCATAGTCAGTGTTTGATGAAGGCAATTCAATTGTTTCTCCAAAACTTATCATCTGTAAAAGAAACATTTTAATAAGTAGTTAGCTAATGTGGCCTGCAATAAGAAAAAGAAGAGTAAGTTTCTAAATCTTTTGGACAGTAAAGCATTCTCACCTGTTCTATAAGAATGCTGTGAGACTGAGTCAACAAATGCAATTTTTCTATTTTCGAAGAAGGAGTTTCCTTGAATTTCTCAGCTTTTGTTAAATCATCCAGCAAAAGCATGCTTCTCACCAAGGTTAAATGAGATCGAGGAGAAATAAAGTCATGCCCTTCAAGCAACTGTATTACCTCCTATTAAAATAAAATTATTACGTCTGATAGTACCATTTACAATTCACTGAAACAAGAGCTGGCCATGTTGACTGCCATAGAAGCAGTAACTAATGGAAATTTAAACTCTCTCCTTTTATTCTAACCAGAATCCTTCAGTAAATATCAATGTGGATGAGGCAGCCTTCCTACCTGAAGGCTTTTTATGATGTCTGCCTTTAAATGCTTTTCTTGTAGGCCGATAATTACAGCTTGCATCAAGAATTCAGCCTGCAGCTCCCTGTCACCTGCAGCTTTTGCCTCCACACATACTTCATTGATAAGGCTCACATAATCTGTTATATCGTTTTCTAAAATAAACAAATACAGTTAAAATGCACCGAGAAAGGAAAAAACTGTATAAGCATAATATCCTCAAAATTTATCATAGGAATATTGTATAAAATAGAAGAAAAGGAAGATGCAAAGATGGAAAACAAAAGTACATGAAATATTGAAAATAAATGTAATTTTGGGGAAGTACTTAAGAGTATTCAAATGCTGCAAAAGTAATAATGATATTGCATGAATTAATTTAATTTGGGAAATGGTAGAGATGGGTAAATAGATAGGTTCACATAGAGATAACTATTAACCACTGCCAGTACTAATATTTGTAGGTGCCAGGCTGTAATCTAAGACCTTTAGAAATTTAACCCATTTATCCTGGAAAAAATCCTATGAAGTAGGTACCCTATTTCTATTTTACAGAGGAGAAAACTGGGGCATAGGGGGATTAAGTGATTTGGCCAAGATCACACAGCAAGGAAGTGGTGGATAGAGAATTTGAACTCAAGGCAGGGTGGCTCCAGAAGCTGCTCTCTGGCCCCGTGCACCAGGCCGCCTTCCTAGATGACAGGAGGGCTTGGGCATTAGTATTCCAAAATCTCATTGCCTGTGATGCATACATCAGTAACATATATGCCATTTTCAGTGATACAAGGGACTGCTGAAAATGATTATCCTCATTTAATATCTCAATTTTTAAAATTCTGGAAACAGATCAAGCTAAGAAGTTATAAAATGTTAATGTTATAATAAAATACTTCCCAATAAAACCTCTGTTACCTAAGTAAAATTAAATTTTATGAAAGCTTTGATTGAAGAGACAGGATATTTGTACCTTTCACGATTCCAATGCCACGAATCTGGGCAACAAATGCAGTAACCAAGGCTAAGCGGCACCTCAACCACAGATGAATGTTGAAATATTCTCGAGAATTTAGGGAAATAGGATCTAAAAAATTGTCGTCTTTACTTTCAGTCGCCTAAACAATATCAAAATGATGATTATCTTTCCACTTAAAAATGCCCAAGTTCTAGCCTAGTGTTAAATATAAGTTAAGGGAAGCATTGATACCATTTAATAGCATTAAATTTTTAATTTTAGAAATTATTCTTTAACATTCTATAAAACATAAAAGATACACAAAAAAGAAGTAAAATCACTGTTAACACTGATCCTCATTTAAGTGCTTTCTTTTTCTCTGTGTACCCACTGTTGAAAACAAGATTTACAGTCTGAATTTTTCATTGCAAACTATATCAACAGTTTCCATACCTTCAAAAATTTTGTGACCATCATTTTAAAGGCTGGAAAACAGCAATATTGGCTAATTATTGAGTGCTTATTACGTTCCAGGGGCTGTGCTACATGCTTTATACATATTATCTCACTTAATCCTCCTGACAAGCCAAAGAGCAGTTATTGTTATTCTGTTTTTCAGAGTTGAGAAGTGAAGCCTAGGGAGGCTAACTATTTGCTTAAATCCCTCATATTCTGGCAGAGGTTAGGATTCACATTTGTGTCTTTCTGAATTTAGAGCCCACAGTCTTAACTGACTAAGTTATATTGCTAGGTGCTGCTGACATATTTTATGACTTACTATCCTTATTGTTTAACTTTACAAAGGAAGTGACCAATGGGAGGGAGGTGACAAAGGAGCTCTTCAGTTGAGAGCTGACAATTGTCTGAGAGCTAGCAATCTCGGACACTTCATCTTCAACAATGCCTCTTTGTTCTAGGAATTTCCTGCTGTGCATCTCTGACCGTTCACCATCTCCAACCAGTAGCAACATCTCTACCGGAGATGTTGACCTGGACTTGATGGGGGCTAAAGAGACTGACAGGTGAGGTGCAGAGGAGGAGAGGGTGAGCTGTTCCTGGGACCAGAGTAAGAAGGGAACAGAGAACCAGGGAGAAGATCATGATTAGAATGAGGGATCTACTACTTAGAGTAGATTTACAGAAAAAAATACCTATCTATGTACCTTAATCTCCACCTATATGCCTGTTACTATTGAAAACCAAGTCATGCTTAATCTAAATCAGGGCTTCTCGACCTCAGCACGACTGACATTCTGGGCCAGATACTTGCTGTGAGGGAAGTGTCGCGTGTGTTACAGGATGTTGAGCAACATCCCTGGCTTCCACCAAGTAGATTTCATTAGCATTGCCTCTAGTTAGAACAACGGAAATGTCTCTAGGCACTGCAAATGTCCCGAGAGGCAAAATCACCCCCAACTGACAACCGCCACTCTAAGTAAATTTTCAGAATCAGATTGCTTTTTAGCATATATATTGCTTTTAATATAATAAGAAATGAGTCAATTAGTTTTGTTTTGTAAAGACTTAGATAGTAGCAATTTTATTAGTAAAGCTTAAGCTTTATTTTATTCATTTTAAAATGAGCAAGGGTTTAGTGTACTGAATCTTTATATTTTAATCCTAAACAATCCTGTATTATTAAATTACTTGGTCTAACTGAAGTCCATAAAATTTCGAAGAATGTGAGACACCAGTTGCCATATAGATTTGACAGCTTAAGAGCAGAAGAATCTAATTGTGAGAAATTCAAGATAGGAAACAGCACACGTGTCACACTGGTAATGCTAAAGAACAAATATAATTGAAAGTGAAATGAAGACCAAGTATTGTGAAACAACTTCATTTACTGGTGACACCAGATCTAGAAGACTAGAATGATATATCTGGTGGGACTTCAGTCACTATTACATCAAATCTAAAGCAGGGCTTCTCGACCTCAGCACGACTGACATTCTGGGCCAGATACTTGCTGTGAGGGAAGTGTCGCGTGTGTTACAGGATGTTGAGCAACATCCCTGGCTTCCACCCAGTAGATTTCATTAGCATTGCCTCTAGTTAGAACAATGGAAATGTCTCTAGGCACTGCAAATGTCCCGAGAGGCAAAATCACCCCCAACTGACAACCGCCACTCTAAGTAAATTTTCAGAATCAGATTGCTTTTTAGCATATATATTGCTTTTAATATAGTAAGAAATGAGTCAATTAGTTTTGTTTTGTAAAGACTTAGATAGTAGCAATTTTATTAGTAAAGCTTAAGCTTTATTTTATTCATTTTAAAATGAGCAAGGGTTTAGTGTACTGAATCTTTATATTTTAATCCTAAACAATCCTGTATTATTAAATTACTTGGTCTAACTGAAGTCCATAAAATTTCGAAGAATGTGAGACACCAGTTGCCATATAGATTTGACAGCTTAAGAGCAGAAGAATCTAATTGTGAGAAATTCAAGATAGGAAACAGCACACGTGTCACACTGGTAATGCTAAAGAACAAATATAATTGAAAGTGAAATGAAGACCAAGTATTGTGAAACAACTTCATTTACTGGTGACACCAGATCTAGAAGACTAGAATGATATATCTGGTGGGACTTCAGTCACTATTACATCCAATTTCATCAGTTCCTAAATGAGATTACACAGCTCTTTTAAAAAATTTTAAGGAACTTGCCCAAGGTATACTGACCAATAAATAGCATCAACATGGGACTTAAACACAGATCTTTTTATTCTGAACTCAATGTTTTCAGTACTTTACCCCTTTGTTTCATTTAAATAATGAGACAGTGTCCTAGTATGTCAATAAGTATTCCATAATAAGTATTATGAGGATAAACATTAAATTCATACATACACAACTTCCTGGAGAGGTGCAATTCTCTGAGTCATCTTCTACTACCTTCTTTTTAAAAAGTTTTGAATCCTGGAGAAGTTTAAGTGTGGAAAATACTATCGCAGCACTAAAATAGAGAATATAATTTAAACATTATTAATATTACACTTGTGGCATTTATACCTTATTTCCTAAGTCTCTTCCTCCAGAAAAACCCTCCCCATATTCCCACCCACCCTCCCTAAAACTATTAGGTGCCCTGTCTGTGTGCCCTAGTGTGGCCTTAACCACAAGATGGTACTTATCACACTATTTACCTGCCTGCAAACCACTGTATAGTCTCACCTAATTTACCTTATTCCTTGCAAAAATCCAGCATCTAGTGGCTCAGACACAATAGAAGTTAAAAAATATTTTTAAATGAAAAGTGTGAACAAAAGAATGAATGTTTCCAAGATCTAAAACAAAATTTACTCAAACACTCATTAATAAAATGAGCACAGATGTATTTTCCATACATCAGAATATGGTTCTCCAGGTTTCTTTGATGCCATAAAACTGTGTTGCTTAATGCTATGCACTTGGAAACTCTTGAAAATTTTTGCTCAATTAGTATCTAGCAGTGCCAAGAGGTAAATGGACTTAGTGAAGAAAACAGAAGCCAGGAGATAGGAACTCTTCTCACTTCCTGTTGCCCGGTATGTAAGTTTTTCTTCACTTTAAATCATCCCATCCTCTTTCCCTGTATGATGATATACATATAATTGATGTCATACTTTTTCAAAATATTTTAATAATATATGTCAACAGGTCTTCTCATTTGAAAATCTAAACCAAAACAAAATTCAAATGCAGAATAATCTACCTGCAATGCTTGTTGTTACGCTACTTTATACACAGACTGGATGAAAGCCAAATGGACAATATATCCATTTATCTAATTGCTCACTTGATATCTCCACTTGAATAGTAAATAACAATCACATTTAAGAGGTGTTATGAGCTAAACTGTGTTGAGGTCCTAACCCTCTGTGCCTCAGCATGCATTCTGACCTGTAAATAGAGTCTTGACAGAGGTAAACAAGCTAAAACAAGGTCATTATGTGTTACATGCTGTGCTAAGTCGCTTCAGTCATGTTTGACTTTTTGCGACCCTATGGACTACAGTCCGCCAGGCTCCTCTGTCCGTGGGATTCTCCAGGCAAGAATACTGGAGACAGTTGCCATTTCCTTCTCCAGGAGATCTTCCTGACCCAGGGATCGAACCTGCGTCTCCTGTGTCTCCTGCACTGGCAGGTGTGTCACCTGGAAACCACTAGTGTTACCTGGAAAGCCGCATTCCAATATAACCAGTGTCCTTACAAATGGGGGGAATTTGGACAGAAAGACAGACATGGACAGAGAAACAAACATGCCCAGAGGGAAGTTAATGTGAAGACACATGGGGAGAAGGCAGCCCGTGACTGGGATGCATCTACATGATGCAGAACACCGAAGATTTCTGGCGGCAACAAGAGGTGAGGAAGGGCTCCCTCCAGAGCTGTCAAAAAGAGCGAAGTCTTGCCAACGCCCTGATTTTTAGACAGTCAGCCTCCAGAACTGAGACAATAAAATTCTGTTGTTTTAAGACCCAGTCTTAGGTACTTTGTTATGCTAGCCCTAGGAAACTTGTTGCTCAGTCGCCCAGTCATGTCCGACTCTTTGTGACCCCATGAACTGCAGCACTCCAGGCCTCCCTGTCCCTCACGATCTCCCGGGGTTTGCCCAAATTCACGTTTGTTGCATCAGTGATGCTGTCCAGCCATCTCATCTTCTGATGCCCTCTTCTCCTTCCGCCCTTGGGAGAAGGGAATAGCAAACCTTCTGCCCACTGGAGGAGGGAATGGCATACCACACCAGTACACGTGCGTGAGAACCTCATGAACTGTATAAAAGGCCTAGGAAAGCAGGATGAGTTAAAAGCAGAGCCCCTCCACCTCCTCCTCCCTTCCGCCTCCTCCACCAAACCTACTCCTCCTTCCTGTTCTCTACCCCAGATCAAGAGCCCAGTATCACCACTGCTTCCCCTTTGCCTCATACTCCATGTTCAATCTGACAACAAGTTCTGTCGGCTTCACCTTCAAATCGGGATACTATCCAGCAGCTCCTTCCTTCCTTCACAGCTACTGCTACTGCCTCCATCCAAGCCACCAACATCTCCAGGCCAGACAGCTGTGGGAACTTCCTGGCCAGCCTGTCTGATATGGCTCCCACCCCTGTGGTCCTCGTCTCTACCCAGTGGCCACATCAATCTCTCCAAGACGTAAATCAGATCATGTCATTTCCCTGGTCCTCCTTCCAGAGCCTCCCTGGCTGTGGTCAGTACACCATCTCCTTTGGGTCAGTTAGGGTCTTCATCAGGGCCCACGGACACTTTTAAGAAGGTATATAGTCTCTGTGTATAGGCTCCCAAGGTATGTACACATGCTCAGATCTTCATTACATTTTAAAGCCTTTTTTTTTGGTACGCACCCATGTGTTGTATTAAAAGATATCCTCTCCCTTGTCTTCCCTCAATCTTTTCTCAAATGGTAACTGGTATTCACTGTGTTTACCACCTGCCAGGAGCTATGTTAAGTGCTTTCTGTGAATGAATCCCCACCACAGACCTACAAAGTATACATTATTATCATTCCTATTTGATAGACGAGTTAATTAAGAGCCAGAAATGTTAAATGACTTGCCTAAGGTGACTCAATGGACATGGGTTTGAGCAAACTCCAGGAGATGGTGAAGGACAGGGAAGGCTGGCATACTGCCGTCCAGGGGGTCACAAAGAGCCACACACAATGGAGCGACTGAACAATGAAGGTGACTCGGGCAGAAAGGGAGGCAGGGTCAGAACCCAGGCCACTGGAGCCGGCAGCATTCTCAGACTCATCCTGCTGCTATGTGGCTCTTCCTTTTTACAGTTCTAACACACTGCGCTCTGTTTATCCTGGCGCAGTGTTACTTGGTCCCACATTTATATTACTATCTGATTATTGTTAACTGTACCTAAAGGCCCTCTTTGTCCAGTTTTTTAATGTCTTTTGCCTTGCATTCTACTCAGTAAGCTTCATTAAATGGGGTTATCTTAAGGATATTAAAGGATATTAGTCTTTTATATGCTCAAAAATATGTATTGAGCACCTGCTGTAGGCCAGAAGCAAATCTCGGGGTTATGGATACAGTACCTGACCTCACAGAGTTGGCATTCTATTAAGAGCAGGATGTTCTCAGAAAAGAGGAGTGCTCAGCAAACAGACAGTATTCAGTGCATCCTTGCTATAATCCTCCTAGCTGTCATTATTGATGTGTAAAGTTGGACAGGGAAAATGCAAGGACTAAATTGGTTTTTTTCTGAGCTGTTAACCAGCATCAAAGCTTTTCAGCCATTACTGAATTTCAAACTCTCAGGATTTTTACTCAGTCATTAAACTGGTTTAGATACTTGTATTTTCTAAAATATGGCTTGTGATTATCTAAACTATTTTTTTTTTAAATTAAAATCAAGCAAGGAAGAAATAAACAAACAAAAAACAACATAATGTTGATGGGGTTTGTGTATAGGTACAGAATCTCCTCTCCCCTACACCCTTCCTCCCTGAAGGCTACAAACATGCTTCTAAGGCACTGTGTTTATAGAGTAGCTTCAGAGTTAGCACAGGATAGCAACTAGAGAACTTGGAAGAAGAAAACAGTACTTATCTCACTCTTCTGATCCGAAGGCCTAATTCTGATTTCAAGAGAAGTGAGATACAAAGTTTGGAATCTTGTAAACCCCAAAACTTAGTGAATAAAATATAAACATACTGGTATGTCTCAATCCACCTGGTGCTGCTTAGTTGCACAAGGGAAAACTTCTCGTTTTCTCCTCTGCACTAGGCAGACAGAAAGTGCAGGAGGATTACCGACTATAAACAGTCTGAATCCCAATAGAAGGACATTTCATTCTGACACAAAATTAAAAGGCTCAAATGTTATCCGATTTAGACAATAAATTAAATACAAAGGAGAATAGAAAGGAACATTTAAAAAAAGAAGAAGATGGGATTCTGAAATAGAGAGGCAGCCCTGAAAGGAGTAGAAATACAGTTTGCATAACTTTGATCTCATTTATTTCTTATTAACATTCATGACAAAAATGGTCAGTTTGTTCTCATAAATCTATGTGGCTTACTCCACCTGTCACCCGAGGGAACGTGCCTTTCAATTTCCTTGACACATAATTTTATTAGAAGAATCATGAAATGTCAAGCTAACCGTCATTTGGAAAAGGGACTGTCCAACACTCTCAGCAGCGCCCAAACAGAAGCTCACAGAGGGTGAAGTTCACCCGCAAAAACACATTCATCCTGACAGTAGACTTTCCCAAGTGACAGCGCTGTCACCGACAGCCAGCAATAGCAAAGTTTTCGCAGGCTTTGTCCCAAGGGCCTGGCTCATGGACTTAAAATTGGTCCAATTCTGGTATACTTGCATATTATTTGCATACATCTATCTGGTTGTCAAATTAAAGTTCTGTTGTGACATTCCTTTCTATGCTATCTTGTAATGTTTAGTTTCTCATTTCATTCTTCTTCACTAAAGAAAAAAATCACTCTTATCCTCCATACTAAAAGGGTATATATAAGACACGTAGAGAGCTGGGGAAACAAAGAAAGTAAGAGACAAGAAATATTTTCCACAGTTGCTATTGCTCTCTGAGACTCAGTTTGAAGAAAACAGTTCCATCTGCCACCATGGGAAATCATATATTCATTATTTTCCATATACAGATACACATATATATTCTATATAGTGATAACACACATAACCATATATAATATACATTAAGATATATAAATATTTTCTAAATATATATTTACATATGATATATTCAAATCATTTATTTTCTATAGGAAATAATATAGTAAAAGTTCCTTTGTCTTCAAACCTCAGGGGGAAAATGGTGTATTATCATGTGTACTTAGTCGCTCAGTCATGTCTGCCTCTTTGCAATCCTTTGGACTGTAGCCCACCAGGCTCCTCTGTCCATAGAGTTTCCCAGGCAAGAATACTGGGCTGCCATTTCTTCCTCCAGGGGATCTTAGTACCCCAGGGATC